GTGTGTGTGTGTGTGTGTGTGTGTGTGTGTGTGTGTGTGTGTGTGTGTGCAGGAATTTTTACCATTCCACATGTCTATGTTTCTTTTCTGGCTCTTCCAGCTGGACTGCCTTCTTTTCTTTTTTTAATACTGATGTGTTTGGATGCTGCCTTGCATTAGTCCCACCAGGGTGCAGCTGCACATTTGAAGAGTTTTGTTCCAAAATGATGTATCAGACAGCTGGAAACAGCCACGATCGATTAGGTAGTGTCACATGCACATTTGGCTAAGAAGCTAAACGATGCCTGGCTCGACCGCAGGAGGAAACACAAACCCCTTTGAGGTTGTGTCAGTAAGAGCATCTCGCTTAAAATCAAAAATAACCTGAGCTACCTGCTGTGACAACCCTTTCTAAATAAGGGCAGGAAAAAAAGTTCAAATATATATTTTTTGCAGTTTGCAAAAATGAAATGGATACATGCTATTTTGGAAATGAACCCTTCGTGCCCCCTGTGAGCAACTCTTCTGTTCATTTCACCACATTAGCTGCCGCTGTTTGCTAAACAGGAAGAGGTTTTGGCATTTTAGGAAATCTGCGCATTTGCTGTAAGGTTGGATGATATGGTCGGATGCTACTGTCACGTGTGTAAACTAAGTAAGTAAATAAGAAACAAAAAGAAATTAAGCCTGACAGTTTTTGTTCATTCTTTGTAAGTTTAGATCTACCTTCATATTTGGCATCTTGGTAGGATCTTTTCATCTTACTCTCAGTAAAAATAAATAAAAAAGTGAGAGCATAAGCACATTCCTCAAAATCGAAACCTCTTCCTTTAAAAATACCTGCGTTAACTCAAAATGTACTCTACCTTTCCCCATCCTGTCTTGGATGCAGTGAAAGCATGAGAATTAACTTTATGCAACTAAATTGAACCAAAAGAAAGTAGAAATGTACTTTCACAGAGGACGTATTGTTTTAAATTAAGTATTTATCATGTATGTCATATACATATATATATATATACATACATACACACACACAGGTGTTAGTATGGTGGTTTACTCATTCACCTAACAACATCCCCAGGTTTGATCCCAGAATGATGCACAAATCCCTATTTGGGGTTGCATCAGGAACGGCACCCGATGTAAAAAAAAAAAAAAGAAGTAATAATAATAATTTTATCTGCTGAATCAAACACACGGATCTGCAATGGATCTCTATGGCAACCCCCTTGTGAATAAGGGAGCAGCTGAAAGCAGCTATATAAAAAGCAATGTTACGTTTGCTGAGGCCTCGCCCCGAACTTAGCCTGGCACACCTTCTCGTCCGTTTTCCGGAGCAAAGATGGGACGAGCGATCAGTATGAGGGCAAGCAGATAACTTTACTGTGGCGTGTTCTCGACCGACATATTGAGCGCGTTCCATTTGAAGAAGGCACAGTGACGATAACGCACATAAACCTTAAGACGTGAATGTGAGTGATTTTGAGATGTTTTCTGTTTTATAGAAATCACCTTCACAATCCCGAAGGCACTGAAAGATTATAGTGAAGTTATGCTTTGTGTGTATGACGGTGCGAATACATGGAAATGTAACTGAAATGCTTTAAGAGTTTGTTTTCAAGTGTAGTGAGTAGATTTTTTCTTCTTCGTTTTCAGATGCTTCTGTAGTAAATGCTTGATTGAGATGGTTTTACTGACACGTTTTCACCGTCGCGGCTGAGTGAAGCAGTTAATGTCACCTCAGTCCAAGTCAGACGCTCGATCGGGCTTTTGAGGAAGCTGTTGCGACAGCAAACTTAAGTTTTATTTCACAAATCTGAACAGTTATGCAAATTTACTTCTTGTTTTTTTTTTTCTTCAGCACTGTTTCTCATTTTTACCAGCAAATTAAACAAATTAAGTTTCATTCTATAGCAATCAACACTTCTTTTTTTTCTGTCCATTTGCTTTCACTCTTTCTCTCCTAGCATGCACTCACGCAGTTAATCTGTGTTAATCGAATGATTGTATGGTTGCTATCGCTGCACAACTGTGGAACCAAGGTGACCTGGGAGATTTTGTCACTGACAGCAGATGGAGTTTCTGTACGTGCTTTGTTAACTGTATCCATTGGGCATTCGCCTAGAGGCAACAGAGCTACCCTTGCAACACAGTGCTGACTAACAGCCTTGGTTAACACACAGTAGGAATCACACGCAACCTCCTGAAAACGACCACTGATTAAAACTCTTCTTCGAGTGTGTCTTGATAAAACATGTACTGTGTAGTTCTGTTCAAAGAGAATTCTGCTGTATGTTTTTTTAAAGGTTTTGATCTCTAGACTTTTAGTGAAATTTCTACATGAGATGAATATGCTGTATGTATATGTTGTGTATATCTGCAGTGTGCACACACGCACACTGTCAAAAGAATCCGACCTGCGCTGCGCGTAGGTTTTGACTTGCTGATGACTTTTGCCTCATAGAGACGGGAGATAAAAGTGGCTTTCTGGTTCATGTGAAGTAGAGGTTGGAAGTTTGAATAAAGAAAAAATACTAAAACAAATGCTGCTGCTGTTTTTGGTGTGGTTACTTTTGAGTTTCACAAATGCAGTGATGCGTGAGAAGAAAATTAACATTCATGAAAATCTGGAACTGAATCACAAAAACGGATCCTTAGCAGATTTGAGAATGAGGTAAATACAACCTCATTCTAAGACAAACAGCAACACGTGAGCTCTTACTGTCAGGATATGTTGTGTTAGGACCCAAGATGGAGAGGTTAACAAAAGGCATTATTGGATTGATGGAAATCTACACAAGGCCAAACGCAAAACGATGCAAAACAAGTGCAAACTATTTCAATTCACGAGGGACCAGAGATCAGAATGACGCTAGAGAACTGAACTACGCTCTGACAACAGAAAGAAAGTGTATAAATACACAGCGAGGAGATTAGAGCAGAGAAGAAACACCTGGGACACAGTACCAAGACACAGGTGGACAGGAAGTAACTGATGAGAGGGAGGAAAACTGAACACAATGCCCACGAGGCTAAGGATTAGCAAACTAAAACAGGGAACATAAATAGAGAGTCAGGGACTATGGAATGTGAACCTGACATGAACATATAAACTAGACACACATTAAAGGTAAACAAACATGGAGGCGAGAGCTGACAACACACTGAGATTAAACAAGGAGCGAGTGGACAGAAAAAGGAACTGATACTATTTAAAGAAGAACTGACGACTACTAACATAAATAAGAAAACTCTGAAAAAACCCCACAAAACTCGAAAGAGTAAATAGCATAGAATTAGAATTTACTTCACAAACCCAAAAATAAATGGAAAAAAATCAATCAGTGACTCTGACAGTCTAAGAACCTAGCACCATGTTGCTTTTAAGAAGTGCAGAAGCAGCACATAAAAAAAGCAAAGTACACCTCATGATTCAGTAGTTTCTGATTCTTCTCTATAGTTTTTGTTGATTCAGTTCAGTGAGGTTTCATTCTTCTAAGTTTAAGCACAGATCTTCCACCACAGCATTTCAATCAGGTTGAGATCTGAACTTTGTTGCCACTGAAACACTTTGATTGATCCCTTTTTTTTGGCCATTCTTTTGTAGATTTGCTTCTGTGCTTGAAGTCACTGCTGCATAACCCAGTTTAGGAAGCTTTAGTTGTCAAACAGATGGCCTCATATTTGACTCTAGAATACTTTGGTATCCACAGGAGCTCATAGTCGACTCGCCAGCTACCCAGGCCCTGTGGCTGGTTGGTATGAGGTGCTTGTGCTGATTTTCTGTCTTGTTCTCCAGACATGGTGCTGTGCATTATTGCCAAGCATCTCCACTTTAGTTTTGTCTGTGCAAAGCACATTGTTCCAGAAGAATTTGTTCAGATGCAACTTTGGAAACCTGAATGGAGCTGCCCTGTTCCTTATAGAGAGAATGGGCTTTGTTCCAGCAACAGTTACAAAAAAGGCATATTTGATCAGTGTTTTTTATTTGTACTATGATGAACTTTAACATTTAGCATGTTAACTGAGACCTTTAGAGTCTTGGGGTTTTCTTGTTTTGGTTTCTAAGATTCTAAGATTGTTGCTGATGTCTTTCCTCTGTGGCATCATGTTAACACACACCTGAATTCTCCAGACAAACAAAGTGCCAAAACTTCTGCTTTAATGGAGATGTTCACACTAATTCAGCTAATTCAGTGCATTTCATTGGCAGCACCCAACCCACACTCTTAATACTGTTAAGAAATAATAATGTACTTAATATTTTGCACACTGCTTCTGCATCTTGCTTTAATGTCTGTTGAATAAATAATGACGCGTTTTAATATGTCATGTCTTCTTGTTGTTGTATAACTTGCTAAGGACCGAATGATTTTTATTATATTCTGATATCTAAAACCTTAGGATTTAAAGAGCATATACTTTCTTTTGTCTGCGGTTGCTACAGACACAATATGGTTGACCTCAGAAGACTTAACAGAGAGAGTAGTATTGAGGAAAATAGTGTGTGACGCATGGATGAAATATTCATCTGTTACTGCACTCAAAAAATAAAATCATAA